TATATATATATATATATAAAAATAAATTACCCAGTGAACACGCTGAGCTACAGCTCGTTAAACTAACCAGAGTTGCTGATTGTTGCACCTGACCAAAGGTAGTCATGACATGGATTTTATTTTTACATTCTGTTGGTATTTTAGTGCTAACGTGACTTTAGCAAGCTTACATCCGCGTGGATTTCAGGTTGACTCGCTTGCAAGTGTAGCTTCAAGTGCATTGTGTTTTTACCGGTGATGGTGGCTCCACATGGCTTACAAAGCATCTTGTTTTCTGTAATATTAAACTGGAAATGTGTCCATATGTCTTTTCTTCGCTTTCTTCCTGGCACTGACATATTGTCGTGTAGGTTTCATGAAAAACAGCCTGTTTCAAACCGGGTGCTTATGATGATCGTCTATCAATCGCCTACAATTATGTGCATCTGAGCGTATTACCGCTCTCGGGAGTTCTGATTGGATGTCTTTTCAAGTCATCCCGCTTCAACAAAGTTCTGATTGGATCTCGTCTTTGGCAAATATTTTAGTCTCCGTTTTTATTCGTTGACAAAAATGTCAATAATTTTCGTCATAGTTCTAGTCTTTGAGCATATTTTTTTTATTTAGTTATCGTCTCGTTTTCATCAAAGAAAAAAGGTCGTTAATTAAAACTATGACGAAAATTTTTCGTCAACGAAATGAACACTGATGGCAAAGCTCAATGTGTACAGGAAGGTGACACTGATCCCATGCAGAAATGTCAGACTGATCACACGCAGGACAGCAATACTCATCCTGCATAGAAAGGTGATACTGATCCCATGCAGAGATATCACACTGATCACATGCACGATGGCAATGCTCAACGCGTACAAGAAGGTGGTGCTGATCCCATACAAAGATGTCAGACTGATCACATGCAGAACGGCAATGCTCATCCGGCACAGGGAGGTGATTCTGATCCCATACGGAGATGTCAGACTTATCACATGCAGGACGGCAGTGCTGATCTCATACAGGAAGGTAATACTGACCCCATGTGGAGATGTCAGACTGATCACATGTAGAACAACAATGAGAGTTGGGAGTACATGAGAAGACTCCCAATTGGTCTATGCCTGCAGGCTGACATATCTATTTGCAGGAATCTTGAAAGTCTCAATTCATTGACACCAGACTGACATTTGGTGAATAATTAATACGCATGATGCTATCATTCCTCCTCTTTTTGGCCTCTAAATTGCTCTTGGGAATTTAGTTTCCGGGCAGCAGATTAGCCTTACCAGTCCCTCTGCCTCCTATCAGAAGAGGCTGTCACCCCCTCCAGGCTTGTAATGCTGTCACTCAAGCCACCTGATCCAGGCGCGGATCCAGAGGGGGGCGCACCCGCCGCACGCCCCCCCTATTTTTCCATGAACAACAATTTTTGTTGCCTAGAGATTCGCGCCTACGGCACTCGCACTAGTGGCTGCGTCCCCCCTTTCCAAAAATCCTAGATCCGCCCCTGTGATCGGCTCCAGTCAAGACACAAGATACTTTATGCGTCACATACATGGTTATAAAAGTACATGTAGTGAAATGCACCCTGAACGACCCTTAGAATGTGCAAGACAGAAGAGAATTAGTAAAAACAATATAAATCAGTCAAAACAATATAAAGACCGATGTTTAATGTCCATTGTTCTCATGAATCCAGGGTACCCGCGGTCATGGAAAACCTGGAAAAGTTTTCGAATTTTGAAATAATTTTTCCAGGCCCTTGATAAGTTTTGGAATTCTTTGATATAGAAAGTATGTTCTCCTCTAAACCCAGACTTAGGAATCAGACTCTCCCTGTCTTTAGTGGTTAACCTGATTCATCCAACATGACCACAAAACTTATGGGCTTCATGCACTGAAGTGAACTAAATTGCATCTAAACAGTGTAAGAGGAAAGAAGGCCCAGTTCTGCTAATCAACATGGAAATTTCACATGATGCTGAGATATGTTTTTTCCACTATTCAAAATATTACAACATAAATAACCTAAATATAAGTCTGGATTTATGCCGTACTCAAACACGATTTTGCTATTATTTAAAACAAAAATACACGCAACAAGGGCAGTTATAGTTAAGCTTAACTCTGTAAGTGAGACTAGGGGAGATTCCATTCTTGTACTTCAAAGTCTCAAGCTGCTAAAGGCATTTTCAGTGACTGGGCATGGACCACAGTTCTCAGCAGTTATGGAGCCTTAAAGACCCATTAAAAACCATATGACATGACTTAGAGCACTTTAAATAGAATTTACACACATTAAACACAACTTTTACAACTGCTGCTCCTCATTACATATGGTGCCATAAATCACCAATCAATATTAGTATCAGTATAATGGATAATATAATTAATTATAATCTGTGACATATTATATTCCTTCATGGTAGACACTATTAGCATTTTGTGGCCGAAAAGCTTACTTATTATGGTTATTATAGCTAAATTAGAAAGATGGTTTGTAGTATGAATATTCTTTAAGATATTACTGTTAAAAACTTGAAAAATTATTACATTTGTGTTACTTTTATAAGTATACAGTTATATCAGGTTAGCAGTTCACAGTAAAGTGGTGACATAAGGTTGGTATTTAATGGGACTACTGCTTTTTATTTTACAGATATTATTAAAGTGAAAATCAGAAACATTTCACTATAGAGTCATATTCTGTTTTTAGACTTTTTCGTTTCATTGTGCATTAGTAGAAGTGGTGTGCAGGACCCAATTTATGGGGCACATGCTACATTGCCCAGTGTCCCAGTATACCTCCAGTTTGCTTGAACCCATGAAGCTGCAGACAACACAAAAACTGTGTGGACATGTGAAATATATAATAAGTGGTAAACCACATAGCAAACAGTGTAACCAAACATTAGAGGTAACCAGGTACCTTTACCTACACCATATCATGGGCTGACACGAAAATCATATACAGTATTAGCCCATTAAATCAATGACTGACCAAGAATATTATATTTAATTTTCATGAGCATTGTATAATTAATAATTGCTCATTTTTCATGTTTGTTAATATATCATTTTGCTGCCACCACTCCCCTTTTATTTGTGATATAAAATTCAATTTGAAAAGTATGTATGAAGAAAACAACAAAAAAGTTTTATTGCCAGTTAGTAATACTTAACCCATTTGCATTTGTTTGAATGGAGACTGCCACTATGGAGGGAAATCCCAGACATTTTTCAAAAGGAATTGCAAATTGCATTTGCAATTGCGTTTTCCATATGTGGACGCACTTGCAATTGCATTTGAATTATGCAATAGCAAAATTGCATAATTTCAAACACTGACTGCCAAATTTCAAATGAAAAAGCAAAGTCCATTTGCAGTTGCATTTCCCATATCTTACAAGTTATGAGCCTGTCATTTTTAAATAGCAAAATCAATTACCACGTCTGCTTTTTCACTTTCTCTGCGTCGCGTATGTACCCTGCCAAAACTCAAACGCAACCGCGTCATTTTGCATTTGAATTTCCGACGCGTTACACGGAAACCTGTCAATCAGCGTCAGGGGTGGGTGTATACTGTGGGGCGTGATTGTATGGCGAGTGACGTCACTCGCAGTCGACCGCATTTTGTCGGACTCGCGGGCATCGGTCAGAACAGAAGCTCGTGCCTATGTCATAATGGATAAGTCAATTTCCCAGCTACTGCGAGAGGCGGCTGCAGCTCTGGAACGACATGGAGTTCCGACAACATCAGTCGGGACTCCATCATCGACTGCTCCTTCCCCTGCAATGAGAGGCGCAAGAAGTGACTGTCAAGGTGAGGAATTATTATTTATTATTTTATTTATGTAATAATAAACTATTTAATTTGCATAACATATCATTTGACAACAACGTCTTTGTCGTACCTGTAAAAGGCGTCCGGTCTGGGTTTTAAAATTGTCTAAAATATCCGAAATTTTATTTTTTATGTTCTGGTATGTTCATACGTTTTCTATTTAGTACTGAACACCAGTTTTTATGTATTAATATGTCTCCTACGTGAATATTCTGTAATAAATTCAATACAAATATACATATAGCCCACTTTCTTCTTTCAATGGGGGGCACTGTGTAAAGATGAACACTGATATGCTACACTAATCTTTATCAGAAACATCAATAATTTTATTTCCAAACTCTGTTAAACTTATAGTAATATAACCAAATAAGTTTTTGTTAAACTGTTTGACAACTGGGGTGTTATAAATTTATGGTTATTTAAATTATTGCAAAATATTTACTGTGTTAAAATATGAATGTTTTCTTGCTTTAAAATGTTTCCAAGGTGCACAGTGAAGTGAGCAGGTTGTTTGCCCCATATGCATGTTCACCAGTGGGGTTACTGTAGAAATCATGCAGTTCAGCTCTGCCAGCAAAGAAATCGAAGACCATAACATATACCCACAGGTTTTTTTGCTTGTCTAAAAGAAGAGACTGTGAAGTTCCAAACCCATCTGGAAAGTTGAAGCTGGAGAGAGCTGACCTGAGGGAATAAAAATCATTTTCCCAGGTGAAATAAAATGGTTTCATCATATAGAATCTCAATGCAGAATTACAATTCACCAGCTTTTAAATTATGCTTATTTTTAGAAGACAGTAATGTATGTTACTTTTAGTTTCTAACTACAATACATGCTGTACACATTTTGTTTGCCTTTCAGATAAATATTGTCAGCCAGAGGAGTTTACAGATTACCTCTGTAAACAGTTTCCCAAGCTGAAAGAATCTGGAGGCTATGAACTTCTTAAGCCTCGAGGTGCTACCCGCTCAAAGTCATTGGAGATAATCCCTTGTCCTGATGATGGATACTCCGCAGCAGTGCTTGAAGTGGGAAAAAATAAGTGCAGGAACTCTAATTTTCCGACATTTGACATTTCACTCATTTCACTTTTAGTAAGTACCGGAATGCAGAAAAAAGTGGCGGAACCCAAAAGACGAAAATACAGAAGTTCCGGAACTGCGTTCCGGCCCACTTCAAGCACTGCTCCGCAGAGTATTTGAGCAACAGTACACTTGGCATCGGAGGTGGCATGATTTACATCAGACCTCTTCAGAAAGATCTAAGCTTGGAGGTAGATAAACTGCATAGATGAAGCATAAACAATGTATGTTAAGATTTGACTTCTTTTTCTTATACATTGAAAAGTTTTCAGAGGGAAAAACAGGACAAGGGCCACAAATAGCTTGTTTGTACTGCCAAGAAAAAAATTCTGTTGCTGAAATGCAGAAATATGTCGACCAGTGTGAAATGTAAGTAATATGTGTAAAAATTTCTAACTAAACAATGGAATGTTAAAAGATATTAAAAGTGTAAAAAAAAAATGGTTTAAATGGACGAGTTGTACTATACCTTGGACTACATTTATTGTCATTTTCTTTTTTTTATGTATTTTTTTTATTTTTAAAAAGCAGGTTAGAAAGAGAGGAACACCAAAATGTTACAGAGGGCTCCAGGTAGGAATCAAGTAGTACTGGTAACACACGGGATATTAATAGAAGCGACATCAGCAATGAAATTTCCCATAATAGCAGCAGTGAGGAATTTCCCAGAAGCAGCAGCAGCAGACAGCAAATCTCCAGAAGCAGCAGAGAGGATTTTGCTAGAAACAGCAGTGAGGAATTTCCCAGCAGCAGCAGACAGCATAACTCCAGGAGCAACAGTAGACAGGAAATTGATCAAAGTAGAGAAATAAGGGACAGTGAAAATGAAGGTGATTTATAGGTGTTGTTTCATGCAATCTGAACAACAATAAGCTTATTTTTTCAGCATAGCTAGAAAAAAACTCCCAAAATATGACCATGTCTTGTGAATAGCGACAATTTGTATTACTTTTGTATTTCTGTCTTCTCAGAGTGGAAAGTTGAGCCAAACTTGTTTCGGGCTGCACTTCTATACAGAACGGGGCTTTTGGAAAAGGCTGAAATTCTTTCTTAGTTAACTGCAAGCCTGAACCTGTGCAGCAGTACCCAGGATAGAGAAAGAAAAATGTTAACATTCTATAAATCACAACCTGGCAACTGGGCTCGTCCATTCTCCGTTGTACTCAAGGGTATAATTAATAATTTTAGTTAAACATTTCATACATGTAGTCAGATTGGCACATCACATGTCACTTTGTTGTAACATAAAAGAAAACTGATGTTTTTGGGTGAAATATCTATGTAGTCATATTATATGGCAAAACTTATAAAAATGTTCTTTTTTCTAACTTCAGACAACTGTGGCAAAACTCTATTTTTCACTGGTCAAGAAGACCATCTGGTGCCATCAACCTCCCATCAAACTCCCGAAGCATGATTGGCCATTCATTTATTAATGGTGGTCCCTCATTGACTGGACTTAGCCCTGCTATGTTTGGAATAATAACCGGACAAATAAATGAGACAGTCATGATTGAACTTGAAGATTGCCCTGACACAGATGTCATTGAAATTGTCCATCTGGTATGTATGACCATAAACCTACCTCCAACCATTGTTTTTTGCAAGCAAAAATGACTGAAATGAGAATAACTTTTTTTTTAACTACAGCTTCAAAAACCAAATACACTTGCTGATGATGAGTGTGCGATAGTAAATGACCTGGCTATCAGTTGGGATCTGCCTCGTGTCACTGCAGAAAACAGACTGTGGCTAGCCCAAAGCATTCTTCACCATGCTGTAAGTTTTAAAACATCTTGTTATTTTAAACCCTTTTTGTACTTATTCATGAAAAATTGCAAAGATTAATTTCCTTAGGTCATCGGCCAGCGAGAGGAACAGATGCAACAGTAAATCATTAGCAAGGATTGTCCAAAAAAACTTTTTTTCTTTATTCATACTCATGCCATTCCAGATGTATATGCCTTTTTTTCTCAAAAAAGATGAATATTTTTAAAGAATAGCTCAGTTCTGTAGGTCCTCACATTGCAAGTGAATTGAACCAACATAAAAATGTTTTCATCATACATTTACTTCCTTTGTGTCAAAAGGGGGTTAAATATGTGAAAAAAGGACTTAAATGTTGATCTGTTTCTTAACCACACTTTTCATATCACTTTTCAAGACATTAATTTAGGGCTGTCAACGATTAATCCCAATTAATTGCATACAAAATAAAAGTTTGTGTTTGCGTTATATATGTCTGTGTTCTGCGCATAATTATTATGTATAAGTAAATACACACACACACACATACATGTATAGAAATATTTGCATGTATATATATAAATTAATATTTTTATATAATTTATTTTATATATAAATAACATATCTTAAATATATAAATGAATGTGTGTGTATTTATATATTCTTAATTATTATACAGATTACACATATATAATGTGAACACAAACCCTTATTTTGAATGCGATTAATCATTTAACAGCTCTACATTAATTTAACAACTGAAGTATTGTAGATAAATTTTATTCCTTATTTATGTGGATTTTGTAATGTAACCTCTAAGTTTTTCACTTGCATTGTATGAGCCTAAAAATGGAAAATCCTTAAACTTTAGTCTTGAGCTGCTGAAAGTAAGACAAAAATATCTGAGACAGCATGAAGGTTGTAACAGCATGAGACTAAATTGTAGTTTATTGTTTAGAAAAAGTTTAGTGTTTTTGGTGAATCATCCCTTGAGTTTTACTTGCTGAATTTAAGAGTGTTCACAGTGTTATGCTAAATAATTTTAAAACATTAATACTAGGGTGTAGTCTTACAGAACCCCTAAATGTGTGACATTATACTAGTTGATCCAGGAAAGAGTAATATGGCCGAACCCTGACAGTGATGATGAGGACAACTTCAGTCTGGAAACATGCTGAAAACATCCTTTTTCCGGCAATACATTGAAGAAAGTAAAAAAAATAGATTTTCTATTTCTACATATAATGTAGCATTTTGTGTGGTTCTCTTATTGCAAGAATTACATTAAAAGGTGCATTCATTTAAGTAGTATAAACTCTAACCCACTTTCTACATTTAAAAAAACAGGTACACCACAGGACCTGAAAAACCTTGTCGAATTGTGGCTGGACAAGCCTACCACAAGAACTGTATGTGGAAGTGACATCAGATGTCAGAATGCCAACTACCTCAACATGCAGTTACAATGCACTTCCATTACAGCCATTATGGAGAATTCAGCTCTGATTTAAAAGCAGCTGTGTCTAGCAACAGTTTTGGATTTGTTTTAGTTTAAAAGGAAGGCACCTGAATAGTCTTTAAACTGTTGTTGTTTGCTGATTTGTTCAAGTGTAAGAAAAACAGTGAAATCAGTCAGAAATCTTAGTATTACAATTTATTGTAATATTGTTCCTACATTTTTTACTTGCTTTCTAGGCAAGGGGAATCTAGCAGTTGCAATTGTTAATTAATTCACAAAATATATGCCATTGTTTACATCCATTAAGATATTAATTGTTCAAGCATATTCTTTGGGTTTATGTATCAGTCCATCTATCCCAATAAATGAGTTAACTGTTGCACTGTTTCGCAGTAAGCATCCACCGTTTCTGTAAAAAGAATATTTGGATTGGGCAAGGTGTCAATCTCTGCAGCAGTCAACTCTCTCTGCAGTTGGGCTTGTGGGACAGCAACTCCCTCCATTTCATCACTGCATGATGGTTCTTCCCAGTCTATTCCAAAGTCTTCACTCACCTTTCAACACAAAAAAGTCAAAATTACATAAAAAAAACATTATTACATTACAAAATGCCATAAGGCTTCACAATTAATGATTTCCTACAAATGGTAGATTTACCTGGTCTGGATCATCAGCATTTTGAAATGTTGTCCACAGCTGTAGAGGAGATTGGCTACCTGTGGTCCTCAATTTGTGGTTATTCCAAGCCTCCAGGAACAGATCAAGATGTCTTTTCAACTGAGGCAGGAAAATCCAGTGTAATGCGTATAGGTGCACCTCATTATCTGGATCCAGGAAACTCTCAGATTCCATTGCATAGAATAGGCAGTAAAATTTCTCTAAGACCTGTTCATAGACATCCCTCCATAATTGTTCAATTCTACAAAGACAACATTACAACTATTATCAAACGTCTTCATTAAATCTATTTAAAATTTACTCCCACCCACACAAAGTACCTTTGATTGTGGGCGCTTCTCCCAGTTATGTGGGAGTTGCGGTTCTCACCCCTATGTGCCACTTCAATGTTCTCCAAGCCCTTGTCTGAGCGCACTCGAGAGGGGAGTCCAAATTTCCGAACTGCTCCAATAAAACTGTCAAGAACCATCAATGCCCGGTTGTTTGTTGCTGCACTCAGGTAAACAATTAAGCAGCTAAAGCCGTCGATGCCTCCATGAGTAACAAACCTCCACCTAAATAAAAGACACATAAATTAAAACAAATTTTATGATTCCCTATCTTTCACATCTATCCTCCCATGTCTGGATTGTTTCCAGCATTCAAATTATTCAGTGGCCATTCAAATTAAATTTCTTGTCACCAGAGCAAATTCAGACAACAACTTTCTTTTAAAATCCCCTTCAAAGCTATTTTTCTTTCAATATAATTGTTGATATATTACGTTGTACACTTACAAAATTAAGCACTCCAAAAGTTTGTGCTAGACAGCATGGTGGGGATCTTCAAATAAAAAAAAAAAAAAAGTTGCATAACCTTTATGGAAGCAACTATTTACTTAACCCTGAACATCTAACAGCACTGTATTAACACATTGTGACTGTAAAGCGGGTTTCAGACTGAACGCGGCATGCGCTGCGCTTTGCTCTGAAACCTATTAATCTCTATGGCTTGCGCGGCGTAAGAGCGATTTTGCGTTGCGCCGAGCACAGCGCAAGCGCGGCGCTGCGCGCCACTCGGCGGCCTTGTGCGCGCACCGCGGTCAAAGTTGAAATTTGTTGAACTTTGACCGCTGCGCGCCGTGACGCATTTTCGCGCGATCAATAGAATCAAAGCATCGAAGCGGGCTAACGTTCGGTCTGCCCCTTCGAAACACACACTCACACAAAGCGGGTATGGAGGAAATGATCCTTTGCAGGTTGGGATGTCTTAAAACATATTTTATCTTTAAACGACATATTTTCTCCACTTTAATAGATGACGAATGTAAAAAGACCTGGAAAAATCTCAGGGACAGTTATATTAAGGGGGAAGAAAGTCAGAGAAAAGAAGAGTGGTGCAGGGGCAGAGCAGAAAATAATTTGGAAGTACAGTAAAACTGGTCTAAGTCGCCGTCTTGTAACTCGACAATGTGCCTAAGTCGACGCTCAAGCAAAAGTCCCGATTTTTCCTAATGATGTTTCCTTTAAAATTCCTTGTGTAACTCGCCGCTTGTAAGTCGTCAAATTCCCGGTCCCGAAGAACACAAATGAATGGATTTTCCTACCTGTAAGTCGACACCCCAATCGCTGCATTCCCGCCGCCTGCTTCACACCTCCTGCTTGTCACCACTGCAATGTAGAAACGGGGAATCCCCACCTATTGCACTAGTTGCTCCCTGGTCTTAAGTCTCGCGTGTATAGTGCGGTGTAGTAGAGGTACAGTATGGTGTTATATTTACTAGTCGGCAAAATGGGGAGATAGACATAAGTCGCCGAAGTGTCGATTTTATAAGTCGGCAAAACGGCGAGTTATATTTACGAGTCGACAAAATGGCGAGATAGACATAAGTCGCCAAAGTCTCGACTTAGGTGTATCTCGTCAATTCTCTAAGTCGTCACTTTTAAGCTGGTCCTGCGAGTGTCGACTTAGACCGGTTTTTACTGTACTTAACAATCATGAGCTTCCTGGAGCCTTATGTCAGGGAGAGGGCCACCTCCTACAATATGTCCCCATCCTCACAGAATAGACTCTCCAGTCCCCAGGCTACCTCAGCTCCTTTACCAGCCTGAATTCCCCAAGCTGCTCTCTGGATATGAGGGTCTCATGCACCCACAGCCTATTCTTTCTTGGTGCTAACAGAGCTAGTGCGCACACGATTTAAAACCCTATGGGAATTCGGGGGCTCCGTATTAAAGTAAGAATCTCACACGTTCCCAAATAATAAAATTAACATATGCTATTAACGTCCCTTCTTGTAGAATTAAAATACATTATTAACGTCCGTTTCCAATGTTAAATATAATTTAAATCGATCACCAAAATAAGTGTATACTTTAAAAGACTAGATTTCTGTTCGTTGGAGTTAAAGTCTGGGTTGTGTGTGAGGGTTATGTGGTATCTGGTACCACCTCCATGGCATGTTTGCATAACGTCATGTCCGGATTCGCTAGTGGAGATCACGTGTTTCCGTCCCTCTAGTGGAGGTCCTCCTGGTGGAGGTCTGCAGCCAGACCCTTCTCGTTTTTTCGGAGGAAGCTAGCCAGGTTGTAAAATTAGGGCCACAGGTTGTTAGGTAGGGCCACTGGCACAGGAAGACGTGGGGGGGAGGTGGGTAGTGGAGTCGCCGCCGCGGAAGACAGCTGCAGTTGTCTGACCACATCCGTCAGCCGGGAAATCTGTGCCTGTGCCTGCTGGAGCTAGTCTTGGAGTTCTTGCGGCTCCATAGTGTAGGCGAAGTATTCTGTTCTGCCACGAACCACGCAGACAGGGAATTCCAGGCAACTAGTTTTATTTGGTAAGACAGAGAGAAGAGTCGTAAGCCGTTCCGAGGTCGTGAGCCGTAGTCGTCCAAGCCGGGTGTCTTGTGCCGAATCGTGCACTGAAGTCGTAGTCGAATGGAAAGCCGAGGGTCGTAAAGCCGTTGAATCAGTCCGGAGACGTAGACACACACTGGGGAAATAACACAAGGACCTAGGGGCAGGGAGGTAGGGCAGGAGGGTCGGTAGGAGATGCGGGAGACTCAGGGAGGGCAAGAAGGATCGAACGTAACTGTGGGGGAGAGAGAGAATAGCGCTCAGTACGTGCATGGCAACAATACTTTGCATTGGGTAGTTGTCTCAGTGCGGTTAAATAGGTGACTCTAGGGATGCCTATTGGTCCTTGTTGGTGCGTCGCCTCCTTGAGGAGGGGGGAGGCGTGACAGATAGCATGAAAAAAATATTTTAAATAAAAATGGAAAGGTCTGTACGTCATGAACGTTCAGTCTTTTAAGCCCCTCGTTCTATTTTATTTGTTTTTGATGTAAAGACCAAATGGATTAAGTTCAATTAAGAATATGTGATTATATATTAAACCAGCTTTGCAGATGTGGATGACCTACTGCCAAAAATCAAGAAATGCAATGTATCACTCCCAATACCTTATTAACTTATGGTTTCCTTGAACCTATAAAAAAAAGGCAAAAAAAAAAGAGAGAAAATTTTAATAATTGATATTTATGTTTGTAATTAAATATTAAATTCTACACATTCTGGTATTTCAGCATATTTTATCATTATAACCAAAACCTCTAATATAAAACAATCAAATGTAAGTCAATACAAGATTAAAAAAAAACTCAACATATTGTAGTTCTTTTTGGACAGAAAATAATTTTTCAGAGTTTAAACTCTAAATATTATAAAGTTGTTCTTACTTTGAATATGAAGACCTTGTGACCGAAGATAACCATGTATAATCCTGTACCCAGCGTTTGGGCAATTTCTTTGTATTTCAGCCACAATGTTGTCCAATACATCATCATTGACATCAGAGTACAAATCTTTGGGTCTTTGGGGGAAAAAAAAGATATTTATTAAAGGTTATGATATTTCAAATAGCAGCATATATTTTTGTATATGGCAAAAATAAAAGTATAAATACCTAAACAATCAAATCATTCCTTTAAAAACAATTCTTATGAAAAATAACCACGGTTTTATTATAGTAAAACCATGTTTTTTGGTGTACTGATCACCATTTGTATAACCACACAAATACCTTAAAGTATGATTTTTGCAGAAAAATCATGGTTGTGGTTACCATGGCAATAGCCATGTTTTTCCCCTAATAAAACCATGGTTAATTTTCTTGGATAAGTCTTTTGGCCTGGAGCGCCAAATGTAGGTGTATGCTTTATATTGGATGTATTTATATTTGTTATATATAAAGTGTCATATATTCCAAATGCATTTATGAAAATTGTATGTACCTTAATCCATGCTGTTCCAGTCTTCTACGGATGGTTCACTCAGATACTCCAAGCAGGCGCGCAAGCTGGACACATGAGTAACCACACACAACGTAGTACTCAATCATCTCTAGTGGTATGTCTATCAAAGGACGTCCTGGTCCTTCAGTTGTTCTGTCCCTTACAAAAAGCCTGTCAGCCACTTCACTCAGATTGGCGAAGACAACATTACTGATGTTGTTCGTCAGGGCGAGAAACTCATTTATCCATCCATCCATCCATCCATTATCTGCTGCTTATCTGGGGTCCGGGTCGCGCGAGGGAATAGCAGCTTCAGGAGAGACACCCAGACCTCCCTCTCCCCAGCTACCTCTACCAGCTCCTCGGGGAGGACACCAAGGCGTTCCCAGGCTAGCTGAGAGATATAATCCCTCCAGCAAGTCCTGGGTCTTCCCCGG